CGTTTGTGCGAAACGTTCGTTTCTACGTTATTACGCATACTAAAATGTTGTGTATAATAATATGTTTAGTAAGATTAATAATATTTAAATTGCTTTTCTCTTTAAAATTATAAATACATAATTATAGTAGGTTCACCTCAACCTAACTAAAATAACTAAAAGAACATAATATAAACAGTACATAATTATTTGAAATATTAAAATATATAGTAGCAATGGCATATTAGCTATTTATATAACCAATATTATATTTAAATACAATATATGTTTATGGTATAAAATAAGAAAAATTAATAGTTGATATTATAGAATAAAAGTAAAAACCGTGTTAAGTAAATAATAATAATTAATTAGATATGTAGCTTAATAAAAGTTCAATTAGAAAGTTAAATAATAGACAATTATAAATTCAAACAATCGTAAAGAATGTTTGCTCCGTTTAAGTATACTTTTTTAGCGATGAATGTATTAATTTTACAATGTGATTTTTTTTTTGTGTCTGTCTTTACCTTTTAGGACAGTAAAAATGCTTAGATTTTCTCCAACAGTAGCTTTTCTGATAGTTGGTACTTTAGGTGGTTAAAAGTTAAAATTTCCCAGTAGTTCTTAAGAAAACAAATGAAAAATTAAGGGAAAATCGGATTTTTTTACGCAAAACATATTTTAGGCAAAATTTATTTTGGTTTTTGGTGTAACTCGAAAAGAAATTACCGTAAATACATGAAATGTTGACTGAATGTTTAAATTATCATTTTTTATACACCATAAAAATATTTTAATTTATTTTGAGCTGTTTACGGAAATTTTCAGTTTACAATTTTTTTAGTTTTTTTTTCTACGAATATCAATATAATTTTATTTGCTGTGTAAAAAAGCTTCAACATTTAATACGAGGCTCCTTATACATTGTTACAATAGTAGTTGCAAAATATTAAAATTACATAGTCACACATTTTTTTAAAAGCATTTAAGTTTGAATTTTGACAAAATACGTAAAAATTACGAAAATGTGCAAATTATTTTGGGTTAGAAATTCATAAAAAATGTTCTTTTATTTAAAATAAGGTTCCACGTAAACATATAGTTTATATATCAAAATGTCTAATGTTAGCTGTGAAAGATAAATCTTTTGTGAATTTTTAACTAAAAAATATTTTTTTTTAACATTTTCGAAATTTTATCAAAATTTGAATTTTAAATGCATATAAAATATAATCATGCCTATTGTAGTAAGCAAGTTACTACGTAACAATAAAACCAATTCCACAGGTGCGTAATTAGTATTATATACTGTAGATCGGCATAAATCGGATATTGAAAACGGAAATAGGATTTCCTACTGGTTAACATAAGGAGACAGGCTCACTGAATTATATAATGACTCAGGAAGCACTGCACACGACGATATTCAAATATAAAGAGTAAAACGATTATTTTAATGAAATAGACCATGGATTAATAATTAGTAATACGCAGAATATATTGGGAAATCGTTAATGCGTGGGCTGGAACGATAACCACACAAATTGCATCCGTGAGACCGAGATACAGTATCTATAGGCAAGGGGTACGGGGAACCTCATATATAAGGGAGCCCGAATCGGTCTGTATTCAGACGTGTACCACCCATTAGTGCAAGCACCTTCACGCCACTCTGTTTGACAATAATTGGACTTAGTAAAATTATTGAAGTGTAATAATAAAATTCACAATTATACAACAACAGTTTATATCATTTATTCATCTACCACGACTACAACATCTGAAAAAGTGTCTGCTACCTGCAACGTTAACGTACTGGTAGCCACTTGTCTATTATTAATACTACAATAGTAGGTAGGCACCAAGCGTACCAGCACGTTACACTATGTATCTTTAATATTTTGAAATTTTAAATAATGAAACTTATAAGGAACCTTGTATTAAAATTTCAAGCATTTTATCCGGGAAAGTTCAAAAACCTTATCAAGGCTATAACTTACTTAAAAAGGGTCAACATTTTTAGAAAATGTTACCATTTATGTAACCATTTTTTTTTGTTTTGAATATATTCTATATGAGATTATTTTGCATAATCGATACATTTTTTCATTTATTATAAAAAAAAAAGGTAATTTTTTACTTTTTACAGATCTCACGAAGGACGTAGGATTGTGAATATAAGTCATTTATTTTCTCAGATTCAAAATAGCCGGCATGGAAAATTGGAATGCTCGTTTTTAGATATGCAATTTCTAACTGAGCACTGTAGAGGGTATATCTCAACTTTTAAATTCCGATGCAAAATTTGTGGTATTACGTCGAAGTTCACATCGGAAAACGAACAAGACTGCAACTATTTGCCAATTAATAAAGCCTTAGTAAACGGCAGTATAGCTATTGGTACTGATTTCATGATATTATACATCTTACCTACTCATTTTTATAGAAACTCATTTTTGAAGTATAAACTATTTGATTAGCTTAGTATTTTAGTGTTTTATCTAAAACAATAAAACAAACTGTATGTAGGTAGTAAATACTTTATGAATAGTGAAAATTAAATATGATTATTTTACTATAGGAATTGGTCATGCACTGCTTACTGAACTTTCCGCCTCGGCTGACATTCCATTTTTGTCAACATTCGGATATTTAAATAATTTGTCTTCGGTTAGTTAGTCAATTGAAGATACTGCTTTAGAAGAAATTATTAAAGCTGGTATAGAAGAACGGCGATTGGCTATATAATGTGGTAATGTGGACAAAGACGGGGTTCCTGTGTGCACTGTTATTGCAGACGGCCAGTGGTCGAAAAAAAGTTATAAGACCAAATATAATGCGTTTTCAGGAGCAGTAAGATTGCATTTTTATATTTATAGGTAGTATTATTGTTATTTTTTCTCATATGTTTTTAGGCTACTATCATTTTTTTTAAACTAAAAAGGTGTTATTTCTTGGTATAAGAAACAGCTGTTGCTGCATTTGTCAATGAGCTTCAACCAAAAAAATAGAGCCCAGTAATCATCAATGCTTCTTAAATTGGAAAGCATCTTCAACGGCAATGGAAGCAGATACAATATTGGAAGGATTTTTGAATAGCATTTTTGCAAAGTGTCAAAGGCATCACAAGGTACAATGTGTGGATTATTTTGAACTTCTCGAATACGTCTAGATGAAAGAAGGGATAAGTCTTTTAAGGGCCCTATATTGGTGCTTTCAAAACGTCCACTTAACTCTGCTAAAATAATATCCATTATGATATTGTATGTATCAATTTTAATTTTTTTCATGGGACAGGATATAATTTCATCTCGAGAAAGTTCACCTGAAATTAATATTAAATTTCGTAATTTAGAACAAACATAGTTTCTTAATAAATATAAAATAATTGATACTTATTTTGAAAATAATATACACCTGATTTTCTTGGAACACGTTTCGGTCAACTAGATACAAGAGGTAAAAAGTCTGTTCACACCCGAGCACTAGAGCGCGCCAGATAATTCGGTCAAAAGAAAGTTTCGATTCTGGTCACGCATGCGCCGCTGTCACCGGTAGACCTCTGTCCCGATCGCTCTCCGTCGTAGTAGTCGTGTGTTGTTGTCGATACTTGTCGCAGCCGTTACCGACCCGTCTCGTCAATATTCTAACGCAATAATGTTTCTTAAAAAAAACCGTGTGTGTCGTTTTGACGATTTGTTATAAATCGGTGTGTAGCCGTGTCTTGTTTTTGTGCCGTCGCCACCGAGCGTGAGACCAGTAAGCCGTTTTTTTTCATTTTTAATATTGTTGTCTCGTCGCGCGTCGCCGACCTACGAGGACTGCTGGTCCTTAACGTACGTGTAGATAACGTCGTCGTGTGTTGTTGTGTCGCCGCCATTTGCGCCCGTTGCGCACACGCAAGTTTTATTTGTGTTCGTCACCTCCCGCCGCCTTGTTGTCATGTCACAGGCGCGGATAGATGCTCGTCGTTGAGAATCCATCGTAGTTCAGCTAAGTTCGTGTTTACCGGTTCGGTTCATTCAAATTCGAAACCACCGTGTACACCTAGTACCCACGTGTTACTGCATTACCTCTTATGTCATTAACTATTAGTACAGTACCAGTCCTGAATGAAACTCTGCAACGATTTTGGATGGTTGAAGAGCCGACTGTTCCAGTACACTCGACCACCAAATACGAACGATTCGAGGAGTGGTTCTGTAAAACAATGTCACGGGACACATCAGGAAGATTTTGCGTTGCTCTCCCTTTTCGGTCTACAATAGAAGTTCAAGGTAATCTAAATCAGGACTTGAGTACGTCAAGTGGTCTTGGTTCTTCGCGTACTGTGGCTCAAAATCGGTTGTTTAATATTGAACGTCGTTTAGCAAAAGATCCTGAACTATATTCCGCGTATCGTGACTTCTTGGATGAATATCTGTCACTCGGTCACATGCGCCTGGCTGATAAACCAGGGAAATATTTTATCCCACATCATGCGGTAGTTAAACGGGAAAACGAAAAAATAAAAATTCGGGTAGTCTTTAATGCGTCGGCCAAGTCATCTTCTGGTTTGTCACTTAACGACTGCTTGGTAACCGGACCAAAATTACAGAGTGATATCACCGAAATATATTACTTCGCAGCCGTTTCCACAAGTTCTTGTTCATCGCCGATATTGAGAAGATGTATAGGCAGATCCGAGTCAATAATGCAGATAGTGCGTATCAACTTATACTTGGGCGAAAATTCGTTCTCTTCTGCCACACTGTGAATGGTCTCATGTACGATCATCGGATAACCCTGCAGATCCTGCATCTCGAGGCGTGCTGCCTGAAGAAGTTCTTACCAATCGATTACATTTAAATGGTCCAGAGTTTCTGCAAGATCCCAATTGTCGGTTTTCAAGTTTGATGCCGAATGAGTTTTCACCTGAGCAACTTCCAGAGATAAAAACCTCAGTTAAAAATGTTTTATGTGTTTAGGATAGTATCCAGCCTTCAAATATGATCAGTCAATTTTCAACATTAACAAAAATGCAACGTGTGTTGGCGTACTGTTTTCGTTTCACCCATCGAAATATTCCTAAGAGCAGTGGACCAATCACTCGGATGGAATACGAACGTGCCCTGAACGCAGCTATTTTATGTACGCAAATGACATATTTGTCGGATCTACATAAACAGATCCAAAATCAAGGTTCCATAACTCCGACAACGATAGTCCAGCTCGCTCCCTTCATCGATTCAAATGGAATCATTCGAGTTGGCGGAAGATTAAAATGTGCATTATTAGATGAAAATGCAAAATATCCTATTCTTTTGCCGTCTCTTTGGTCGAGCAGCTGTCTTTTTCAATTTCAGTCAGCAAGTTACAGTAACTGGTGTATGCATGTACCCAAGCCATTTAAGAGATTATCCTTTTTGGAAAATCTTCTTCTGAAAAAACTGTTTCCACTAACTGTTCTACATGGCGGTTAACGAGTAATGAACAAAATGCGTATCTAGCTTCAACTTCTAGGTTCACCCTTGAAAAAATGTCATTAAGTTAAACCTCATGGAGTTGTAAATACCGTTTCCGGATAAATTCCGGTGTATATATTTACTTCAGCTATTCCTGACACTTTATGTTCAAAAACTTACTATTTTATAAAACTGAATTACAAATTACAAAATCTAATAAATAGATATTACAAATAAAACATTGAAAAAATTCTTTTGTATTTTCTGAAGTTAATATGTTTACTATAATTGAACTCTACTTTAGGGGATTGAAATTTGTCTTATTAATAGATACAATAAAATAAAATAAGAAACGGTTGAAATGTAATTTAAGAAACAAATTTACATTTTCAATGTGCTAAAATAAAATTTCCCTGGTTGGTTGGTTGAATTAATGTTTAAATGTTAACCCAACTAAAATATTAAACATCATATCACATCACTGTCCATCTAGTTGTTCATAATATTACTCTATTGCTAAATATAAATATATAAATATAAATATATCACCTTTGATTATTTAACATGGTTTGTTGGTTTAAAATAAATAAAAAATTAAGCTAAATAGATACTTAGAGTGTAGATAATTGAGACTAATATTAATTATTACTTTTTACTTACTCCATATAACATGTAGATGATTTTTATTTACTGTCTTTTTAATGTGTCAACAACTCATTTTTTTATATTATTTAAAGTCAAATTTGATGTATAAAACCCTAAAAAAGAAATAGTGACTTTTTGTCACTGGATATTTACATTCTTATAATACATTATTTTGTATTAATTTAAATTAATTTTGTATAGTTATGTTTAGAAACTACTCGCATAGAATTGATTTATCATTCAATTAAATTAACTTGTCCCATCATTGCTGTATTCAAAAATGTATTCTTCATACTCATACATCATACCAAATTATATTTTGTCTATTTAATGTACCTATGTGTATATATATTTTTTTTTTTTGCGTCTTTATTAATTGATACTTAGACGAAAATATATGTAATATATTTATACTGTAAATTTCAGCTATAGAATTTTTTTTAATACAAATATAAAATCTTAGTTTTATAATGTATATGTTACGGTCAAAGTGTATAAACGGGCATTATACAGTGCCCGGACAATGTGGAAAATGATACACTTTGTCCATGCATTGTACAGAATGACCAAAGCACAGTGGGCAATTACAATTAATTAATTAGAAAATGTATAAAACAATTTTTATTATCTTAATAATTTATAATAATTTATTTTATGAATATTAACAATTTCTTTTTATTTATTATGGCAACTTAAGCTATCGTGACATTTAGAAGTACATAGTTTACTTGCAGCCCCGGAACAATTAATTTATCAATATTACTTACATTCATTATATCATAGCGCTTCAATAATTTATAATCATTTGGTTTTAATTTTGCTCCACTTTTCAATCGTTTGACTTCTGTTAATACTTGGTTATATTTTACTTTGCTTAAAAATACATTATTCGAATTATTTTCACTCAGAAGAGTATTAAATTTTTCATTAAATTTTAAATCAACCATTTTAAATACTAAGAAAAATAAAAGTTTTAAGAAAATTCAAAATAATAATAATATGTGTTTAAACACAACCGATCCGTTAAATGATGTTATTACAACTGATCGGAAATTCTATATTATATCTCCGGTATAGATTGTCGTTGGTATAACCTCTGATAAAATTATCTTGCAGCAATAAGCTATTAATTATTATCCTTACTATATTATTACAGATATCGAAACTACATATGGGTACAGTATCGGCTATTGCTGGTTAAAATACCTACAGTCATCAGTTAGATACCATCGTAGAGGGAATGTATTTGATAATCGTTATCGTTTTAACGATAAAGAAAAATTATAGCTTATACAGATGCGGAATCGCAATAAACTTACATTGCCCACAGACAATTAAGCACTGTACACAACGCCCGGCTTTTGTATTACAATGCCCGGGCGAAGTAACCAAATTAAAATCAGATTCAGCTTTGCACAAATATGACGAGCATTTTGCACAATGCCCGATTTATACACTTTGACCCTAACTTATACATTACTTATGTTTGTGACTTTTAACGAACTAGGTTTGTTAGTTATCAATAAACCAATTATCGTGAATATTAAAATCAAGTTATTGTTTTAAAAAACTGTTCGTTTTATTGATTATATATTTACCTATTAATAAACCTAATTTGTTGATTCAGTAAAATTATTCAAAACTTTTCCTCATGGAAATTAAAATTATTTTATTATATTTAGTATCAACTTTTATTAATTTAATTACACTTCTAATTAATTGAATAAACCTTGTCAATAAATTGTAAAAATATATTAATATTGTTGTTGTGATTTTATTACCAATCATTCGAATTAAAACTACAACCTGGTTTATTGTCTATATCTATACTATTATATAAAATGGTAAGGGTTTTCTTGGAACGCGCTAACCGAGAAAACTACTGAACCGATTTGGCTGAAATTGTTTACGTTTATATCTGACAGTCTGCTGAAGGTTTTAGTACCACTTTTGTTAGTAAAAAATAAGTATAAAGTTCTTGAAAAATTAATCTAATCTAATTCTTATATCTATATATATAAAACTGAAATCAAGCAAAAGAGGAAATCTTTGTTACGGTTTGGCTTTGAAACTTCTTATCCAATTGTTATGCAGTTTTTTTTAAATGAAATAGGATATCACGGAGCAGGTTTTAGGCATAAATAAAGTCTGATAATGTTAGTCAATAATTAGTTATCTATACCTAATATTATAAAACCCAAATACCACTGACTCACTGATCGCTGTTTCTCCAAAACTACTCAACGTACGGACTTGAAATTTGGAATAGAGGTTCTTCTCATATTTTCACAGTGCAATAAGAAAGGATTTGCCAAAATTCACATTTTAAATAGGTGCTCAAACAGGGACATTGAGATTCACGATGGAAATGGGAAATTTTATTTTTATTTATTAATAGTTGCCATTGGTTACAGTCTACATTAGAAATAAGCAAATGATGATAAAAAATAAAAAATGTTTTTGTTGAAACACAGCTAAAATATCATAATTGTAAAAAAAATTTCGATAAATTAATCGTGTCAAATGAAAAAAACATGCTAAATGTGTTGCGAAATTGAAAACATCATTAATCGTATTTGTAATGTCTTTGGAAATATGGAAATAGTTATTTTCTTCCAGGATATATTTTGTATTGTTATAATATTATTTCAATAAAGAATCATTCGTTGTTTTGCACGTATGCGTTCAAGTTGTGCTCTATGCCTCTATCTAAAACATAACAGTATTTATTGATGATAACTCAAAATCAGTAATTATTTCCAAATTTGAATTTTCTCCAAAATATATTTCATTTTCAACTACAAAGTTATTAATATTTTTGAAAAATTGAAAATATTTTTGTATCTTCATCTCTCGAAGTCATCAGTGCATAAACTAATGGAACAATCATTCTGTTATTACCTCTTTCAACTGATCCGTGTATAACAAACAATTAATTAAATAATGTAGGACAAGATTTAAATGTATCTTTCATTACCCAAAATTTTTAGGTGAACAAGAAGTGCTACGAGAAGAAGCTGCCGAAATTAATATTTAATATTTTTTATCAAAACAATTATTATCTTTTTATATAAATTTATCATTATTTTAAGTCAAATTATTCATTATTATTTATTACTATCATTTTTAAATATGACTTGTGCTAATTTAATCTAGCATTAAATTACTGTGACTGTAATTAATAACTAACCAATTGACAGTGTTGTAAATTATTTAAGTACAAAACCAAATTAACATAATCCACATACATATATTGGTACAAACATTTACAATATATACCATAATTTATACTAATATTACAATAAGGTTATGGTGATTTATGATTATTTATGAAGCACCTTGCGACTCTGCGTGTCTTTATTAACTTATCGTTGATGATGATTTTATTGTTGGAATTGTGTGAGTAAGTACTATTATAATTTCTTACCTGGTTGATGTTGCTTGACTTGAACGATGATAAAATTTGAAATGAGAGCTTTGACGATGTTAGTTTTCTCGAAATAATGTAAGTACAATTTTGGTTTGAAATAAAAGTTATTTTAATAATTCACAACAAGATATTATAAGATTTGATTTGAAAAAAAAAATCAAAATATTTTGAAAACGTTATTGTGTATAGAAAAGGCAAATATAAACAACCAGTGAAAATCGCATGTATCTACGGTCATTTGTTTTAAAGTTACACCAAAGACCAAATTCGATTTTGTTAAAAATCGATTTTGCGTAAAAATTCCCGTTTTTCCTTAATTTTTCTTTTGTTTTTCACGGCACTTTTGAAAACTACTGGGAATTTTTACCTCCCCAATGCACCAACGATATTCACTTTCCAATCGAACAAGATACTGCAGTTGAAAATCGAAGCATTATTTCGACTACTTATCGTGTACACAGACATATTAAAAAAAATAAATAAATAAATAAATAAATAAATAAAAAAAAATATAAAAACACACATCATTGTAAAATCAATACATTCATCGTTCCACACAGAATCTAAAATAAAAAATAAAAAACACATCATTGTTAAAATCAATACATTCATCGCTCTGCTCAGAATCTAAAATGTATTATGACAACTAGCATTTACAGAAAAATATATTCTTTTAAATTTTATAAATATTTTTTAAAAAAAACGCGGAATATATGACTACATAATTTTTATGTATTATACAAGGTTTACTAGCATTAAGCATTAAATTAAGGCACAAGCACGTTATTTTTTTTTACGTTGGTCACACTTTAAATGCCAAAATTATTGTATCTCTATCCTTATCAATTTTCTGACATCTACCCCGTACCCGCGCCAAATACCGCAAGCGTACCCCTGGCTAAGTCCAAAAGGTTATCCGAGAGGGACCGAATCAACAAAAGCAGAAAGGTCAAAGCGACATCTCGCTTCTTATTGAGAAACCGCAGGACATAACAATTGCTAACGCAAAAGCGGGTGTCTGGCAGACGGTAAGGGCGAAGTGCAGTAACCCGAAAGCTAAAACCATAGTCAGTGGGAAATCACTTGTTATAATCCCTGATGACGCCAATACGTTGAAGGTGATGAGGGGCATTGATAACATAATTGAAATAGGCCCGAAGAAGCCCCGTGTCATAATCTATGACGTTGACGGCGGCGTGACTAAGGATGAACTGACCGAGTGTCTTTTGGCGCAGAACGCTGAGCTCGGTATCACGGCGGAAGACATGGGCAACACAACGCCGCTTCACAAGCTGGGCCCGCGTAACAGCGATTAGGTCCATTGGGTGGTGGAAGTACCCCGGGCGTTTTCGCCAAAATAGAGAATATGTCCTTGTATATCGGAATGACTAGATGCAGGTGCAAAGTGCACAGCTCGTTACCGCAATGTTATAACTACCAGCAGTACGGCCACGAGGTGCGAGCAGAAGGTTAGTAACGTGTAGGAACTGCGCGGGGGCACACGACTCTCGGACCTGTAAAGAGGAAAGTGTGAAGTGTGCCAACTGCAAGGGGCCGCACAAGGTGTCTAGCTCGGCCTGCAAGTCCAAGGGACAGGCCACCCAAAGCCTCTTGAGGCGCACGGATATCTGGTCACAATGACTGAATCCTTAAAATTTGCTCAGCATAACGTCAACCGACAAAGAGTAGCGAGCCAGTAGCTAAGGGACTATTGTGACAGAACATTTACTGATATCGTCCTAATACAAGAGCCCGTCATGGTAAACGGGGCAGCTTATGCCTTCAAGAACGGCAGGCAGGCAGCGAGCGGTGACAACCCGGGCGCGGTTATAGTAATCCTTGACCCCAGACTGCGGGTGATCGAGATGGCAGATCTATCTAGCCAGCACGTCGCTGTGGTGAAAATCTCGAGAGCCAGTGATACCAACGCAGTAACGGTGTTGGTGGCATATTTTAAGTAGAACATGCCGACCCACAACTTCACAGTAAAGCTAAGGACAATACTCGATCGAGAAAACAGAACTATAATCGGAGCCGACGTAAATGGTCACTCGCCGCTCTGGCACTGCGACAAGACAAACGACCGCGGAAGTCAAACCGTAGAACTAATCGAAGACTTTGACCTTATAGTCGTCAATCGGGAAAGCGATCTAAAAACGTACGATCGAGAAAGCATGGGTTCATCAAACATTGATGTGACCCTCGCGACACCGCGAACCTGGTGCGGGGCTTGTCGGTTACGGATGTAACCGACAGCGATCACAACGTGTTATCATTTAATATTGACCTCAGGACCGATAGAATGCCGAGGGAGGTATCGTACAGATATAACACCAAACGGGCCGATTGGGCCAAGTTCGTCTCATGCCTGTGCGACCGAAGTGCCGAAATCGACAGGTCCACTGTAGACACGTACGCTCGGACGCTAGTCGGTACAATACAGAGTGCAGACGCGGACTCCATGGCGAAAATTAGCACAGCAGATCGGAGAGCAGGCAAACAGCCCTGGTGGACAGCCGAACTCATCACCGCCAAAAAGGCCTTAGATCGTTGAGAAGATTGGGCCTCCATAGAACCGACGGACCGGCCTCCAGCCAGGCGCGAAACACATACGTTGCCCAAATCAGAACGGCTAAGCTTGAAGCGTGGCGTTGTTTTGCTGGCAACATCAACGCTAACACGTGGGGAAAAGCGTTCAGCTGGGCAAAGAACGGCTCTAGGTCTAAGAAGGTACCCTCCACCATGGCTCGCCCAGATGGAGTAATGACCGGAACAATTGACGAGATGGCAGAAGTACTCATAGGGTCTTTCTTCCCAAGAGAGGGGCGAAAAAGAGACTTCACAAAGAGTGGGCCTTTAGAAGACTACGGTGGCACGGTCGACGCTGAAAGAGTCAAAGCGGCGATCTGGAGAATTAGCCCTGGAAAAGCACCCGGAGCCGATGGCGTCACGGTCGGGCTGTTAAGGAAGGCATGGCTGATCCTTGGCGAGGAGATAGTACGCCTCTTCAGGATGTGTATCACTGAAGCCACCTTCCCGCAGTCGTGGAAGTGTGCCAACCTAGTCGTGCTGCTAAAGCAGGGGGAAAAGGACACCACGAGCCCTAAGTCGTATTGACCCATCAGTCTGCTGCCTACAATGGCGAAAGCGCTTGAAACGTTGATTATCCAGGACTTAGAAGCAGAAACTGAGTTAAACAGTTACGACCAGCGACATGGCTTTGTGCCTGGCAGGTCAACCATCACGGCCATGAAGTCACTGTAGGACTGGATAAAAGGCAGCAATAGCAGGCACGTGTTCGGGGTGTTTCTGGACATCACCGGGGCCTTCGATAACGTCGGCTGGTATCCGCTGCTGTCCAGACTCGACGCACTCGGCGCCTCGCTCAGGACAATCAGAATGATTCAGAACTACCTCGGCAATAGGTCAGCAACCCTCGTGATCGAAGGAAAACGGTACTTAAGGACTATCTAGCGTGGCTGCGAACAAGGGTCCCAGCTAGGCCTTACACTATGGAAAGTCGCTATGACGGAAATCAGCAACATACAACTGGGCAACACGGCCAATATAGTGCTGTACGCGGACGATATTGCGCTCACGGTGGCAGCGGCGAGGCCCCACACTGCACATAGCAGAATCGAGAGTTACCTTGACAGCCTTAAAACGTGGGCTAAGGCATACGAGGTGGAGTTCTCGCCGACCAAGAGTCAGTTACTTAGCCTGAAAGGAGGACTGAAGCCCGGCTACTCAATCGACTTTGACTCAGGTGATAACGACGCCAGGATCGTGGCTGAAGCGACAGCAAAGTACCTGGGCGTCATTCTGGACCCCAGAGAGAGCTTCTGGGACCACGTGTCGTCCCTCAAAACGAAATCAGAGGGCATGTACCGCAGACTCCGACAAATGACGTCGGCTAATTGGGGCATGGGCCGAGCGTTAGCCAAAGTCGTATACGAAGCGGTCTTCCTCCCTCATATCACATACGCGGCTGAAATCTGGGCCGAAGGAGGGTGCGCCCTAAAGAAGAGCATCGCAGCCCTTGGAAGCATGCAAAGAGAACCGCTCAGGGCAATTACGAGCAGTTACAAGACTGTGTCAACTAACTGCCTCTCGGTCGTGGAGGGGGTACTCCCACTCGACCTTGAGGTCAGGAGGGTAAAGCAGAAATGTACCCTAAGAGCCGGCGAGAAGCTCTTCAGCTTCAAGCTCCAGCCTAACCCCAACTGCGCCTGCGGTAATGGGGCAGAGAAAGTCAGGCATGTACTCCTGTCATGCACAAGGACGCTAGGGTTCCGTGAAGAGCTCATAGCCACAATGGCGGAAGATGGGGTGGCTTGGCAACCGGAAAGTGAAGCCTTCCTCAGTACTAGAAAAACATATGAAGCACTAAAAAGGTTCAGCAAAAACAGTTTGTAGAACAGAACCGATAGGTAGGACCTATTATGGGTCAGGACGCAGCAGCACCAAACCGGTGTATTGCATGGACTCGGGGTGACCCGGGTGAGCAAGCACGGAGAAAGTGGCATAAGAGGTGGGTCTCGCTTGAGCGCGTCCTGACCCAGGGCGAGCTCACGCGTCTGGGACGAGAAGTACGGCCCTATTGCTGGGGCCGTCCAGAATTCAGCATCAGTATTCTATGCTTGTCGTAAGAGGCGACTAAAAGGAAAATGGCCAGACGGGCCGGCGTCTGGGACGCGGACACACCGAAACCCTCGGGGACTAGGGTGTTGGGGGTTTTGACTGCGACCCCGCGAAGAGCGAGTCGATCACCTCGGTGATGAATCTGGGAGGCTTGGCATAGGCGACCGAGCCTCTAACTCAGGGCCCACCGCGAGCCCGTGGTACACGACTCGAATCCTGGTAGGATCACAGCTGAGGCTCGCAGCCGACGAAGCTCGGTCCGACCATCCCACCATTGATGTGCCTTCCTAACGGGGGCGAGAACGGTACTTCGGGATGTGGGGGGGGCCCACGGCGCCGAGTTGATTGACGCCGTGCCCCCACACGGTGATCGTGGGGTGGCCTACGGCGGTTTGGTTTCGGAGTGGCTGTTAGCGGGAGGTAACCTTGTGGTAAAAGACCAAAGCTCGGTCTAGGGGAAGGCATCCAACGAACAGATAATACCTTCAATAAAAATCTATAAAATTAAATTTTAATAATGTAACATTATTAGAATTATAAAATTATAATATTTAAATTATAAGAGATATTTCAAGCTCAATAGCATCAAAAATTTCACCACAATGTCTTATGGAATCGTCCTCAATTTGTCTATCTAAAACAGCTAGATGAGCATTAATATTTTTTATTTTAGTCATATAATATTCTTTCTTGAAATCTGGTAAATCTGTGATTTTATTATAAATATAATCTTCCAAAGACATGTAGGTTGAATTTGAATATTGTACGAGATTTTGAAAAATCGATCCCAGGGATGATAATCTTTGTATTCATTAAGAATGTCTTTAGTTTTGAAATCCATATCTATTTCATATTCTATAATATTTTCCAATTACAAACTCAATTTCTTTATTCCTAAATATTATTATAATTAATACAACAAATGTCACAGAATATTGGTTAGTCATTTAAAATAATATTCACAATTTCTCCGTTCTTAACAATGATATTTTTATATCTATGTCTATGTCTCTTCATCTGTTGATTTTTTCCGTACATTTTAAAAATTCTATATTTTTTATTTTAAAACATTCCATTTTTTCATTTATTAATTCTATAAATTCATAAACTCAATTTTAATAATGTAGCATTATTAGAATCATCAAATAGTTATATTTAAGACAATAAAATAAAATATGGAATATTAATTTATACATTATATTTTTCATCATCTAATTTTTTTATTAATTCTAAAAATTCTTTATCTGAATAATCCAATTATGTTATTTTATTTATTCGATATAACATCTTAGAATTTTCTTTACTTAAATTTAAAATTGTTTTGCATTTTTCTGTATAAGATAATATTTTGTATTCGTCTGAACATTTAAAATTATCTACAATATAATAATATCAAAATTGTTCTTGTAAAAATTAATTCTGTTTTTTATATATTTATCCTGACCACTCAAGAACATGGTATTCGTTATCTATTAATTTATTTTTTAAAAGTATATACTGATGGTTTAATTCTTTATCAACTGGATCAACATTACGATCAGGTAAAGCTTTACCGAGTTTATTGTTTATGTCGTCCAATTTAATAATTGTTTCTTCATGACTTTTTTCCATAGACTCTAGTTTTTTTATAACAATTTGTATACCGTTACGTAATGAATTATTTTCGGATTTAAAATTTTGAACTATTTGATTTCTATTATTTGGTAATAATATATCTTGTACAAAATCTTGAAATGGTTCTGCATTTGGTTTGTTTGATCGCATAATAAGTCTGAATAAACCTCCTTCTGAAATAAATATTTCTTTGTCTTGATTTGTTTTTTTAGTAGGAGATGAGGGATGGCATACTTCGAGTAGCCCACCCCTTTCTGCTCTATATTTTTCTGAAATTTTATTTCTAATAAAATCTTTTAATGTATTTTTATTTTCACTATAACCTAAAACTTTTAATACATCCTTAGCTTTGAACCAAGGTTTTTTCACAGTTCCTATTACTTCTATATCATTATTATCATATGAAAATTTTGTATTAAAATTACTCAGAAATCCATTACACAAATCTTGGCTAGATGGAGTTTTAACTTCATTAGTTTCCAAATTATTATTTATTGAATTCATTGCAGACTTTTATACATAATGAATATAACAAATTTTTAAAAAAACAAATCAATTTCTTTTTTATGAGGAAATTGGAATATAACACCTAATAATGTAATATATTTTCAGGAACATGTTAATTAATAATATTATTTATCACTATTATATTTTACAAGCAATGTTCAAGTTTTCCAGCAATCCTAACTTCTGAGATATTAAGATCAAATCGCAAAATCCATGTTTTTTCTACAACTCAAACACTTTCCAACACGTCAACAATGTATATGTCGCATCCACATAGCGAAACCACTCATTTCATGAACTGGATATCCAGATAGTGAAATTCATCCACATCGTGAATTTTGACGAAAATACATTATATGGACATCCATTTCATGAAATGGACAAAACCTATATCGTGTACTTTGTGTAATTATTATTTGATTATATAATGGTTCATAAACTGTCATTATACATTTATACGTATATTATATTTAATTGTCCACGATTGATTACTATATAGGTAATTTTCTATATTGTTCAATACACAAAAATATAGCAATTATAGTCAATAAATTATATCATATTACATTATATTTTTATTTTATTTTTCAAAAACCATACGTATATTATATTTTATAAACAACAGTGTTACCTATGCCTATATTAAGTGTTATAAAATATTCATGAAATTAACTATATTTATAATATTTAACTACCTATATTTCTCTATTGTTTTATTACCTAACAAAATAATTAATTGATTAACTTAAACATACCTTATACGACTTAAACTTTACATACATTTTTCCTTATTATTTATTTTTACACGACGATTGATTATGACATCGACTGTTACATTGCATATTATTTTTAAAACAAGCACACCTACTTGATTGGCAAGGATTTTTTGCCTTACACGAACAAGACAAAAATCCTTGCCCTCCTGTAATTTTTTTAATCATTTCTCGCACCGAAAATTCAACATTTTTATCAACTTGATCAGTAGTGAGAAATTGAGTTGTTGATTTTTTCAAACATTCACTACTGAACCATCCTTTGAGTAAACCATATTTTGTTCCAAGTTTATGTAATCCTTTTTTTTTTGTTCCGTGATCACACAAATTATGTTTGGGGGATCTGTAGGTCCTCTATCAACTTTTGGTACTCCAAATACAACACATTGATTTATTTCAAAATCGTCCGTTTTTTTGTTGTTTCCCTGTTAAAAGTAAATTTAAATTAAGATCTAAATAGTAAAAGTACTATATAACTTTATTCTATTATTTACCTTGATCATTTTCTCTGCAGCTATAATTTGACCATCATGTCCAAGTAATCTTAATTGAGCTGTTATTCAGCATTCTTAATTCATCTGTAATTGAGCATATTTAGTGAACGTTTTTTTTTTAGATTTCAATTTATAATATTCATCTAGCTTTTCATAAAATACGTTCTTTTTTTTCCATTTTTATCAAAAGTTGCTATATGAAATAATAAATAGGTACACGTATAAACTGCAAACACAATAGTAACTGCGTTATACACAAACACTCACTAAGAACTAAGAACTAACAACTTAGGAGTTACATAGGTATCCGTCAACTGTAATCCGAATATCCGATAAAGAAACAATCATATGATATCGGATGTGGAATTACCTCATATAATATAGATCATGGATAAAGCATTATTATCTTTAGTGATATTGAATAGGTCATAATTCACGATCAAGTAGGTGTGCTTGTTTTAAAAATAATATGCAATGTAACAGTCGATGTCATAATCAATCGTCGTGTAAAAATAAATATAATAAAATAATAATTACACAAAGTACACGATATAGGTTTTGTCCATCTCATGAAATGGATGTCCATATAATGTATTTTCGTCAAAATTCACGATGTGGATGAATTTCACTATCTGGATATCCAGTTCATGAAATGAGTGGTTTCACTATGTGGATGCGACATATATACTAGTTCAACAGCTCAACATTTTTTCCATTGGCTCAGCAACTCAACTTTCAAGACATATCAAAAAATCTATTCCATTGGATCAGCAACTCAACATTCACACATCATTATTCAAATATCGGTTTTTAAAAATTGTATAACTTTTAAAATCTTAAGCAAAATTGTACACAACAAATATTGTAAAAGATAGTCTAGACTGGAGTACAGTTATATAAGGAATGGGAATATAATATATTTTTTTTAATTACTTTTTGCAATTTTATTTATGATCCGAATATGATATTGGAATGGTGCCCCACGAATGCTAGAAATACTTTTGTAAACCATCTCAATGCATTAATTAAAAATCAAAGTATCCAGATTAGAAATTATTTTTCAAAATATTTCATTTATTAATGCAATTCAATTTTAATTATTAATGCAATATTTCCCCTACATATTTTAATTATTAATATATATCATATTTTTCTGTACCTTCCATACCAAGGCAACATATTTTAATATATAATAATTGAATTATTAATATCATACATTTTGTGAAAAATATTCTAATTATTAATATCATAAGTATTATGAAAAATATTTTAGAGGATGTTGCATTTCGATTTTTAATATCAATTTTATTTATTCATATCATAAGTTATGCATTTCGATTTTAATTATTAATATCATATGTTCTATGAAAAATATTTCAATTATTAT